GCTATCTGCCTTCGATTGAGCAACAATTCTCTATAGTTTTGTCTTGAAAAGAGACATTATTCACTCGACATTAGCCTCACAAAGCTTTGCAATTTATTAGCGAGCGGGCAGGAGCAAAACTGTTCTTGGTTCATACATTGAGAGCTTTCCTATCTGGTTAAAAGCTCATGCGCTCATCTAGACTAAGGTAGAGGTAATGGCTCCGGTACAGGTATAGCGGGTAAACTGTCGTGCATATACGCCATTACAAAGAAGGACAACATGCCGCTGGAAAGGAGTAGTAGCGGGAGCGCTGGGACCGGTTTCCGAGAAGATGCCAAACGAAATCCTGCAAGAAAGTTGTAGATAGAAGAGAGATCCCATGCGATGAGAATATATTCGTCACACATTTGACATATACAAAGACAAAGAACATCTTCTCAAGAGGAGCTTACCAAAGATGGAAGCGAAAAGGAAGGCAGAGCCGAGTCCTATGGTATCGCCGAGAACTCTTGTCTCTGGTGATTTAGTAAGGAAGTAGGCCTGTACAGATATTCAAACATATGCTCAGTTAACGAGTATGTAATCATTGTCAACAGTTGAACAAGAAGATGTGGGTACCGAAATGAGAAACGTTGCTCAACAAGACGCAACAACGAGAAACAAAGATTTCGTAGAAGACAACATTTAGTGGAACACAATCAAGAAGATACAACACACCGGCTGCAATCAGACAAAGCTTCTGAACATATTTGTAGGTAGAGTTCGTCCGATCAACTTGATCGGACCTTCAAATCACAAGGTAAGAAGGCATAGAGAGAATCAAACGACCGTATTTGAATTCCAACCATATAACTGAAAGAATCTAGGCTATGATGCTACCTTAGCAAAGGATTCTAGCACATCAACTGTTACAGAGAGTTTCTTAAGCCTACAGAGTCGAAAAACACCATTTTACTCAAGAAACGAAACAAAGCTTGTAGGAGTACAAGCTCAAGCAAAATGACTTTTGTGCACTAAGTTTCTCACTAGTTCTCTCGAAAGAAGAGATTCAGATTTAACAGTCTATGCAGGAACTGGAAACTAACAATGAGAAGATAGAGGAAGATATTTACAGATGCCATAAGAACAGAACCGGTTAAGCCACCAAAGAGAGAACCCTTGCTTCCAGACTTGCTATCTTCAATTTCGTTCGGGAGACAGAAAGATCAAGTTTTAGTGAAGTTAATGTCTGAATCTAAAATCGAAACAGAAGTGAGATCATGAGATTAGTAACTTACAGGCGAAGAGACCACCTCCTAGAAGAAGAACACCATACGCAGCAGAGGCGGCTGGAGCTAGCTCAGACAGCTCCGCCTTGCAGCAGAGACCATAACCTCGTCTGCTCTTCGATTTCTCCGACAACTTAATAAGTCCCGACCAATTCCTGCCGCCATTACAGAAACTCCTCCCGAGTTTAGTGTTCCTCACCGACACCACCGACGTAACAGGTAACGTTAGCGCAAGAGACGACATTGCTGCACCGAATGTGTTCGTCAGAAAGAGATCAAAGATCAAATATGAACAAAACAAGAATTAGGTTTTAAGGGCTCATTGTTCTTTCGTCTCTAATGGGTTTGTTCTCTTCTTTAAGGCCCTGATCCAGTTTTTAAGAAGACAAGTTCAGTCTAAAAAGCTCAGCTTTGTTCGGTTTTTTTCTAAAGTTGAAATCTTTAAATTAGAAGCGCTCTCCAGAAAACATTTCCAATCATTTTGTATTATACATCACACTGTAATGACAACAAAATGCAATAAACACAAATTGTTGTTTGTTTGTTTACTACACACACCACTAAAGCAAAGAGGGAATTCAATTCAATGTTCCTTCTTTCTTTTGGGTTTTGCAGAATCTTCTGTACAACGAAACTCGAATCTTCTCAGCGACGTTTTTCGATCTTTCTGCGTCTTATGAATCGACTATACTGCAACACAAACACTACCTAAACCTCATTGTCTCTTAACACACTGATTTGTTTATATATCACTCTTCTTTCCCACAACCGAGGAAAGACAGAGACGGGATCTTCTGGACAAGAGTTTTGACAACTTGAGAAGCCGAGGGTCTTAAAGATGGAGGGCTACGAAGACAAAAGGCAGCCACACCGAGCATTGTCTTAACCTCTTCTAAATCAAGACTGTTGTCTCTTGACAACCTAGGATCCAAGAACTGTCTCACTTTCTCTTCTACGATATCTGCATTCGAATCAAGAATCTCGTGGATCAATGGAGCAGCTGTGTGCACTAGCATCTCGCCTCTTTCAGCGCTAACGGCATCTTTACCCGAAACCAACTCGAGAACCACAACTCCAAACCCATATATGTCCATTTTCTTTGAAGCAATTCCGGTTCTCAAGTAGTGAGGATCTGTATACCCTGGAGAACCGACCATCCTCACTTGCTTGGACCGAGGTGACATTGTTGTAGAAGGCTGAACCATAGATGAGAACCCGACCTTGGCTGATCCGAAATCGCAAAGCTTGCAGTTAAAATCTTTGTCAAGGAGAATATTAGAGGATTTGATGTCGCCGTGCACAATCTGAGGACAACATTTCTCATGAATGTATTCAATTGCTTGCGCAACCTGAAACGCTATGGCGATACGGTTTCTCCATGGCAACACTTGTTTGCTGTAGCGGTTAAGCTTCTCTTGGAGGTTACCTTGAGGAAGGTATTCTAGTAGAAGTGCACCATTTTCTTCTGAAAGATAAGTAACCAATTAAGAAGAAACATTAGATTTTCACATAGCAAAAGATACACAATTGATTACAAAACACACCATATTTGCATAAAGAAATGAATCTACACATAAAGAAACTTAATGAGAACAAGACAAGAATAATAAGAACAAGCTTGCATTTATAAAGCTCACGGCTTTGGTTCTTTATAGTAAATTGACTTTGATGGGTATTATTGATTATCGAATGTTATTGTGAATCATTCACATAAAGACCAATTCTCACACAATTAGACAAACCCAGAAATTGAAGAATCCATTAGAAACATTTGGGGATCATCAAGAATTCGTTAGAGAGAAACAAGGGGAAACCTGAATCGTCGAAGTAACCGAGAAGCTTGACAATGTGAGGATGTTGAAGACGAAGCAAGATTTCGAGCTCGGATCTAAAAACCTGGTAGAGACGGTGGCTACTGACATGAACCTTGAGAGCTGCTTTGTAAGAGCCAGACAAGCGAGCCAAGTAGATATTACTGTAGCCACCGGAACCGATGAGTGTAGAGAAATTGGAAGTGAGAGACTCAATACCGTCCCGTGTGTAACAGGTCACAACACCAGAGACAGAGATAGATCCAGTAACCGTAGTGGGTTTGTTGTTGTCGGTGGCTGAGTCATCGAAGCGGACACAAGTTAAGAAACAAGACATTTCGGGAAAAGAAAAAAAAAACAGAGAATCGGAGAATTGAGATCTGATTAGAGGAGAAGAAGAGCAAAAAAGGGTTTTTTTGGATTAAGAAGAGAAGAAGAGTTTGACCATTTTGTGA